GTAAAGACTTGACAGAAAATGACATGGAATCCAGATTTTTGCACAGATTTTGGCTTTTAAAGACTATGGTCTTAAACTTTTGATCAGCTGAAAAAAGTGCAGTTTTAGAAAATTCCCTGCTCAAAAGTTCTTGTCTCTTGCTCTGATTTCTTCTTTTAACATTGTGAAGCTCTACTTAGAACCTTCTTAAGATCCAATAGTGCAAAATGCAAATTCTTGCACTTTTTTGACTGGTCTTAAGATTTTGATCAGGAGTGTATGTTTATTCAAACTATATAAAAAAACTAATACTAGAACTATTAAAAACTAAACTGAACTAAAACTATGCATTAAAAATGATGTAATAACTAATAAAACTAGCAAATCCACTGTAAAAACAAATTCAAACTAACTGAATTAAAAGAAAAAAAGTCACAACGAAATAAAACGAAACTATAATGAAAAATCCAAAACTATTRTAACCKTGGTACACAGACAATTATATGTTTACCTATGAAAGCTGAGTAATAACAGCTATAAAATAAGCTTCGTCATAAAATGAGACAAAAACTTAATTTTTTATGCAACGAGCCATGCTGCACCACTTAAACTCAAAACTTAGATTAATAAAATTAAGAATGAGTTTATTTATTACAAGGAAGCTGCGGTAAATCAGCTTCATACGACCTTTTATTTAGTAAGTACGAAAGAGGATTACAGAGCAAAAATTCTCCCTAAATTCTGACTTTTATCTCATAATTTTGACTTTTTTTCTCAGAATTCTAACGTTAAACTCAGAATTCTGTCTTTTTTCTCAGTTTTCTAAGTTAAAGTCAGAATTCTGACTCAGAATGTATTTTTATTGCACTTTGTTTTCACAGTCAAGTAGCCAGAAAGTGCTTCACAATAAAACACAATTCTGAAAAAATCCTGAGAAAAAAGTCATAATTGAGGGGGAATTCATTTATTTTTTGCTCTGTGGTTCTAATTCTCTTCCATATCTTAGAGATTGAGATTGGGTTCCAAAATTTAGGAGCTACAACACAAAATGCTCCGTTCTCCACGTGTTTTTATTCTGAACGGAGGAACAAGTAGCTGATTAGAGTTATTAGATCAAAGCACATGTGTGTATGTACATTTAGGTGAAGTAGATCTTCTAGCCTGGCCGTGCAACACTTTATAAATGATTTTAAAAATTAAAAACTGGATTGTAAACTCCACAGGAAGCCAACAGAGTGAGCATTATGGGAGTGATATGAAAGYGTGTTTGACCTGGTCAAGCTGCAGCGTTTTGAACAGCCTGTAAATGAGACACTGAAGATAAAAGTGTGTGAATTAGCATCTCTAGCTTTACACCTGAAGAACAGGTCTCAGCTTCCTGATGTCAGCTGTTTTTGTGTATCAAACAGATTGATCAAACAAAACACCAAAATTCCTCCCATTCCAGAAAAACATCTGTTTTTTTAAATAACTGTTATATAGACCAATTAGACTCAAGGTACCTGACTTTTCTGGTCTGGACACCTTCACCACAGTTCTCCTTCAGATCCACGTTGCTGACTTTCCACACGCTCCAGGGCTCGGTGACCCAAACGTACTGATTACAGTCGCTCTGACACGGCACCACCTCGTACACCTGAGGGCAGGAAGCACGTCTGACTCAGAGCAGGTCACATGATGAAGCAGAGAAAAGCTTCTGATCCAAACTTCATGCTGGAGAAGAAAACTTAAGCACATATATTTAGTTTGGTCTCAGCCGTGCATGTTTGTCAGCTACTGTTGGTTTAATACGCCGTGATTCTTTGACTCAGCTTTCTGAGATTTAACTCTGCCAACGAGATTATTTCTACTTGGRGAAAGGCCCGTCTGAAAGCAGCTCCAGCAGGCTGCAGAACCGTGTTTAAGTTCTGTGAGAAGGATGTATTTATCAGCCACTGACCCGCTGACGTGAGTGACACTTTACATTCATTACACCATCACAAACAGCCGAAAAGAGTGGCTCTTACCTGAGCCTGTGGCACCGAGTCCCATCCAGCCAGGGTTGCAGTGGATTAAAAAGAGACAGATGGATTAATGAGCACAAGTCGACAGCTCATACGGTGCAGAACCTAAGATTAATGCAACATTTCGGAAAATAATCAGCAAAGCCTCCGGCATAAAAACCTGCGTGAACGTAAAAACAAAAACAGGCTGCAAAGCTTCGGCTGATTCTGACGAATCTCAGAGCTGAAAACAGTCGTTTGTTCAAGAATTTATACAAGAATCACTTTTATTTAATATTTAAATCAGAGCACTTGGTTGCTTCAGTGATGCTGATGAACTGAAAACTAAATCCCAAAAATATCCAAAGAAATTACATTTTCTGTAAAACAGCAGCTGAAACGCTGAATGACTGCCGAAGAAAGAATTAAACTGTTGTAGTAAAAACAAGCAGAACATGAGCTAAAATGGGGAAAAAACTAAAATCCATCATCAGAACTGCAGCTGAAATGATCAAAACAGTAGCTAAAGTCGTAGAATAACAAAACTGCAACCGAAAACTAAGAATTAAATCATAGTTAAATCCTTAGTTAACAAAAATGTGGCTAAAACTAAAAAAAAAAAAAATAATAATAAAATTCTAGCTAAAAGCTAAGGTAACAAACCTGTAGCTAAAACTAGCAATGCAGTAGTTTAAAGCTAAAATTATCAAAGCAGTAGCTAAAATCTTGGAATAACAAAACTGTAGCCAAATGCTACAAATAGCAAAACCATAGCTAAAAGTTAAGAAACCTGTAGCTAAAATTAGCAATACAGTAGCTTAAAGCTAAAATGACCAAAACAGTAGCCAAAATCTTGGAATAACAAAACTGTGGATGTAAGATAAAACTTACAAAACCATAGCTTAAAGCTAAGGCAACAACCATGTAGCAAAAACTAAATCTAGCGAAACAGTAGCTTAAAGTTAAAATGATAAAACAGTAGCCAAAGTCTTATAATACCAAAACTGCAGATGTAAGGTCAAAGTTACAAAACCATAGCTAAAAGCTAAGGTAACAAAACTATCCAGAAACTCAAATGAGCAAAATCGTAGCTAAAAGCTAAAATAAACAAAAAAGAGGCTAAAGTCTTGGAATAACAAAGCTGTATCTGAAAACTAAAAACAATAAAACCATAGCTAAATGTTAACGTACAAAACAGTAGCAAAAGTCTACGAATACCAAAATATAGCTGAATGCTAAAAATAACAAAACCATAGCT